TTGTTCAGTGTATGTTGAAGAGACAACCACATTTTGAAGATTTATCTAATTTATGTTTTAAAATTAGCATATCTAAGTATTGAAAAGGAGAAAAGTTGACTGAGGTTTTACCGGCTACCAAGCTTGCTCAAATGTTATTTAAACTCTGCGTTTATCCTTAAAATTTACCATATTTTTCATACTTAACCACAACAGAATAATAATACATGAACAAGTGAAAATATCTCTTAAACCCTGTGCTAATGGCAGCTTTCATTATTGAGGCTGGATGTCAGAATATTGAAACTGAAGTAATTTTTTACTGCCAGAAATTGATCCCTGAGTCACCGTGAGGCTCTGACAAGACTTTGACTTATTATACATATATGATAATAATACTTGCATCTCCCATTGTGGTGAGAACACCAACCTCTGTGTCATGAAACCAGCTCCAGCTCCAAGTATTTGTTTCAGAGAAAAGAAGACGGTAACTGGAGTTGTGTAAATGATGTCTGAGTCACTTCTGATGAACTGTGAGAGAAAAACATGAGGAGATGGACGGATGACATCACCACACCTGCCCGGGTGGAGGTGGGCGTCGGACATTATAAACCTCTGACCTTCTCTTTATGAGCCTGACAGCACTGAGACACCTGGCACACACACACTCACACACACACATCCCCCTGAAGGTCTTTCTAGGTTAGAAAATGTAGGTTGAATGTTAGTGGGAGGACAGCTCTTATCCACTGTCTGTGTGTGTGTGTGTGTGTGTGTGTGTACTGTGATATTATATAACGCACACGCACATTGCCAAGGATAGGATGTCATTCGGGTAAATGTATGGCTGCTGACTGGAACGTCCTTATTGCATTTTTTATGATACACTTATTAAAGTCGGTTATATCAGTGGTTCCCAACCTTTTCCCATAAGGGACCCCTTTTCTATCATTCAGTAAACTGACTCAGTTACATATTTTATAGATATTTTATATTATATTCAAAACTGCACAACAGTGAACTCAATTTGCATTACTTTAACATTACCTTTCTTCACTAAAGTCAACCAAATGCTGAGATGTAGGCCTGTTGAAGCTTTGGTGACCCACAGGTTTGTAGTCACTGGACTACATTGTACAACAAACAATTAATAAATAACTTAATTGATAAATTTATCAAGAATGTCAGCCTATGGTTCCTCCAGTTTCCCCAGTGTGAGGATTTTCTCTGTTTCAACACAAACTGAATTTCTCTTTATCTCCTCTGAGATGTAGTGCAGTTGAACTACAAAGTAGCATAAAATGTAAAAAATAAATGTAAAAATAGATAAAGTACAAGTACCTTTTCTGGAAAAAGGACTCCGGTGGTAACAGAGATTTACTGACATAGCTTTAGTGGCTGAATAATGACAATTTCAGGACATAAAAATGTTACGTCACAGGTGGGAAATGATTAAAAAACCCTGGACTGATCCAGCCCAGTGGGGTCGGCTTTGGCAGTCTCGCCATCTTGGCAGTCCTGATTCCGCCAGCTGTGACGGCACCCACCTGTCAATCAAAGCAGCAACAGCCTAAATTATCATATAATTAATGTGTCCTTGAAAACCTGGAAATTTAGAGACTAGTTTCCCAGTCATGGAAACACCTGATAATTGATTAAAATAAATATCCTGGAACTAATCTTAGAAATCTCATTGAGAACGCCTACTTAAACCTGTGTTACCAGAAACGAGGCGTGTAATATAATAAATACATGCACAGTGATGTTAACAGTACGTACAACAATAAAATCAATTCTACTTGATTTGAACTAGTGTCCAATAAACACTGACCACCTACGAGGGCTACTGGTAAATTATGTGACTGTTTGTGGGGAAGTGCTGTCCTCTACTGTCAAGAAGACGCCTGGAAAAGGATTTCTTAAAGAGTGGGAACCCTGTTAGAGACTAGTTTTCTAGTCATGGAAACACCTGGAAGTTCGTTAAAATAACCAAATATCTTGAACATAGCCCATATTATCCTGGAAAGTTTAAATTTTAGTTCCTCACTCAGATTATGTAAACCTGGATGCATATTTTATTTGAAGCTCGGCTGTTGGTAGGGTAAGATGATTCTTCAAAGCAGGTTTCTGCAGGTACTGACAGCTATTAGGAACGCTGACTAGCTAATAGCAGCTAGTACAATTAGCATATGCAACAGCGCACCGGTAAGTGACTCCCTGTGTTAGAAGAGAAAAGGTCCGTATTGCAACAATCCTGTGATACTTTCGTCCTGGTGACAAAGCAGCTTTTTATGTAGTTTTTATTTTTCTGCGACTATCAGACTCTTCACATCAACTAATGAGTAAGTCGATTATTAGGGGCCCTTAACGAGTAGAAATAAAGTGGAATCGTCCTTTGATTTCATGGCCAGTAGTTGCAGAGATGAACCAACCGACTGACCAAAAACTGACTGCAGGTCTGTGACAGAAAACTGTAAATGCTTCATTTCACATCATCAGTCATTTTGTAAGTGAAGGTGTCACTGTTTGCAAATGGAGGATCTCTCATTTTGGAACGAAACTCCAGTATATAGTCCCTCCTGTGTGTGTGTGTGTGTGTTCGTGTGTGTGTGTTCGTGTGTGTGTGTCATTGCACGCTGCCGGCAAATGCAGTGATGACTCATGCTAGACACACACACACAGACACACACACAAGCACCATCTGTTTGACAGGCAGGCTGAATCACACGGCGGAGGGAAGCAGTGTGTGTGTGTGTGTGTGAGGCTGGAGACGAGGCAGGCAGCGTCTCTCCCACCTCTCTCTCCGGCCCGTTAGGATGTGGCGTCGGCGGCGTGCAGCAGCACAGCTCGACAACCTGTCGTCAACGGAGACCGCCGTGACACTGTGACCGTGGAAACAGGATGTACGAGAGATGTCGGAGCACAAAAGGCAAGACGAAGAGAGAGAGAGTATTTTTTATTTTTAATCCCAACCTTCGTATTTTCTTCTTTTTGTATTTTGCCTCGACGCTGCCGTGTTTCATGCTTCCATGTTTTTCTGAATGTGAAGATTGAGTCTGCTGGCGGCTCAGACTGGACGATGCACAGGGTCTGTTTGGGGTCTCTGTGTGTGTGTGTGTGTGTGTGTGTGTGAGAGAGAGAGAGATCACAGGTGAGTAATGCTATGTTCAGTGATGACTCGCTCCAGTGGCGACGAGAAGGACGAGGCCACCCGGCTGCAAATGCTGGCGGTGTTACGAGTTCTCATCGTGCAGCAACCCTTCGTGGCTGCAGATGAACAAGAAAGAACAAAACCTGCAGTTCCTCTAACGTCCACTGGAGGCTGGCTCCATCAGTGAGTCAATCTCCAAAAGGCCCTATATTGAAATTGCCGTCACAGGCGGCTGGTTTCAGTAGAGTTCTTTCACTCATGCTCCACTCTCTTTGCCCAGTTGTGATTAAACCGGGGAGCCACACTGGGCTTCACATACCTGGGGGGTGACGCATGGGACTACGTTTTATGCAGTCTCATGGTTCTCGTTGCGCGGCGGCCTTCAGTTCCCCTCTGCGTGAGCCTTTCTAATTGCATGGGTGTGTGGTGGGAGGGTGTGGAGAGTGCTTGATTTGCCCAGGTGCCTGGAATTGGGACCAATCAGTGAGGTGGTGTGCGAGCACGACCCTAACCACAACTTAACGTTTGTGCATTTTTTATCCATTTCAAAACTGAAAGGACGTTGGTAGTGTGTGTGTGTGAGGGGGTTAAGTACCGTTTTGGTGGTGTTACATAGTGACACAGGTTACTCAGGACGGTCATTTGATTCCATTTCAGGGCACTGCCTGATTTCCATTGTGGAAAGTAATAAGCTACATTTACTCAAGTAGTGGGCATAAGTACAAATTGAGACTTAACTTTGAGTATTTCCAGGTGAATATACATACTTTATACTGTTACTTCCTCTACATCTGCGGAGGCAAACCTTTTACTGCACTACGTTTTTGAGAAGCGAGTTACGAGTTACTTTGCAGCATTAGGTTTTGTAATTGAAAGACGTTGATAAAACGTATAACTATATAAGTGTGGTGGGAGTGATAATACATTTTATGTGGTATAGAGTGCGGCGTTTGATGCAGAGGTGTGAGAAGTGCTACAGGTTAGAGAGAAGAAAAAGATGAGCAGTTGTTTAAAAAAAAATAAAAAAGGAGAAAAGATAAAAAATAAGAATTAAGTGAGCTGTTGGTGAGAGAGAGGGAAGGTCTTAAGAATCGCCCATAAAATAAAAAAATAAAAAATATATAAAATATAACACACTGTAAAGATCAAACCACTGGTTCCCAGCATATTTTGGCTGGACTGCAGCAAATCGGGGCCAGTTACACCATTGGTTGGTAAAGTGTGGGAGTTCCAACTGATTTTCTTTGATTTGTTTTGTTTTTGTTGTGTAATAATGTCATTTTGTAAATTTTTATTTAGCTAAAATAGGGGACTGGCTTCCTTCCTCTCTTGTATTGTAAATACTGTCTTCTATATGTATGTATTTTGCTCTGTATTATTGTGTAAATAAATAAAAACTTGCACACCCATCAGCTTTGTGTGCTAACCTAAGCACACGTTGCTAACAGCTAAAAAAAAAAATATCTCACACTTGTGAGTTCTGCATCAGTCTACATTTTGTGTTGCCTTTGTGCGGCAGCATGGACCGAACCGTGACTCCATACATACAATCCTTACATCCTACATCATTCAACAGGTTGTGTACTTATTACTTGTTACTATAGATGCACAGTGAAAGCTTCATGTAGGCAGCATCAACTCTGGAGTGTGTTTGAACCTTTCTAAACATTTTGTGTCTGGATCTCTTCTATCATGCTTTGCTATGGCGGCATTTAGAGCTTTCTCTTCATCGCAGAGTATCTGATGGTGAAAGTCATTATTCATATCGATTTTAATTGTTTTCAAAATAGCAAAAAGTAAATTCTTGGGAAAATGTGTTTTGGTTCCCTCAGCTGGCCGTCTTGCTAACTGCTTCTCTCGCGCGTTGCAGTGACAGCTACATTGTGCGCGTCAAAGCGGTGGTGATGACCAGAGACGATTCGAGCGGCGGCTGGTTGGCGCAGGACGGCTGCCTGAGCAGAGTGGGCGTGTGCAGGCTGCTGCCGACCGAACTGCTGGGACGCAACACCTTCCTCATCCACGGAGAACGCCTCAAAGACAAGCAGGTCGGTCCAGCAGCATTTTATGGGAATACAGACAATGAGATGTTTTCTCTTACTGAGTCTACTGAGCTCGCTGTCATGTTTCTGCACTTCATTTCCCTGAAACCACCTGATGATCAAACAGTTTCTCTACATGGCTTTTTTCTTTCTTCTCAGTAGTCCTGATAACTGATCCCTACAGAGAAAAACTGACCCTTCCTAAGTCCTTCCGGCCTACTTCCTCCTTTCCTGTACTTAGATATGCCATCTGCTAGCGTTGTCTATGCTGAAAATAAAACCACATTTTGAAGATAGATTGACATAAACAGCAGTCACATCTTAATTTTAGCACTAGCTAACTAGCTAGCTAATCTATTTGAATTATTAGCATGGTAATTAGTTTCCATTTTGCTAACATTACCTATCAGAACAAGCTAGCTAATAATAAATGAAATCTTTTAACCATTTTCCAAATGTGGTCTTTTCAACATAGCCTAGCAGATAGCATATCTAAGTACAGGAAAGGAGGAAGTTGACCGAGGTTCTGATCGAGGCTCGATCAACTCTTATTGGAGCACAGAGAAACAAGGAGTGGGACTTAGGAAGGATCAATTGGTCTGGCCCAGTGTCGGCCCATACAACCCTCTTAAATTCAGCCCAGATACAGCAATGAATAACAGTCAGCAGGTGGTCCAGATCTGGTAGCTACTTATGGCCCATGAAATAACCACATCTCAGCCAACTGTCTCACTTTCCTCCCTTGTCAGCACTGCAGGGGCAGTTATGTTTAGAAAAATAGTTAAATGAGAAAATTCTGCCAAAAAACTGATGAAACTAGTCTGTACATAGGCCAGAGATATGGATATGTCATGGGCCATATGTGGCTACCAGATCTGGACCACCTCTGGACCGTAGTTCATTGCTGTATTTGGGCAGAGTGTATGGGTCAGACCAATTCTGCCATGTGGATGTAAACATGTCAAAGACTTCACTGTGATAAAACCGCATTGAGTGTCTTCATTCGACCTCCCTTGATGTTTCTGTGCAGTGGTTAGATGCTGAGAAAAAATACTGTGTGAACAGAATTTGTGAACATATTACACATATTTGTTAGAAGCGCCTGGTCGAGTTGCGTTCACTTTCTTTTGAACTACGCGTTTATTATTCAGGTCGTCTAATCTTGTTTGTTTGACTTGTGCCCAGGTGATTCTGGAGTGTTTCTTAAAGAAGGATCTGGTCTACACGAAGGCCACGCCGACGTTCCACCACTGGAAGGTGGACAACAGAAAGTGTGGTCTGACCTTCCAGAGTCCGGCCGACGCCAGGGCTTTCGACCGCGGGGTGAGGAAGGCCCTCGAGGACCTGACAGAAGGTACGCACTGGTCGCACACTTAACTGTAGCTTCACAACTGAGCGACTAAGAACCCACACACTTTATTTAAGTGACACTACTGCAAACTACAGAACTTGATCAGTAATCTCAGTGCTCACAGAGGAACAGGCAGTCAAGCGTATTTAAAATAGCCAAATAATTGTTTATGTCATACACACCTGATATATCTGACTGCATCAGGTGGTTTGTTACTCAGACCCATCTGGGAAGTCAAGTCGTCTGTTTGGAAAAGGGCTTTTCAAAAACTCCTAGCCAGGTGATTGAATGGACCATCTATCAAATCTGTTCTGTGCAAACTTCAACCAGTCGGATCAACGGACCATAACGTAGTCAAACATCGGAAACCACGGAGGACTCCTACTTCCCAGTTCAAATTGAATACACCAATAAACCACGCCCATAGCTCAGCTCGTAGCTGCCTGTAGTTCCTCATATGACGCTGATTAGTCCAGTACCGGGCCTGAAATGGGCCAGTACTCACAGGTACTTTTAGTTCTGATTTCTGGCCACATAAGTACCATTATTTGTTACTGTAGTCAAAGTCTAGGTTAACAGTTTCCTTCTTGCTTCCAGTCTTTGTGCTAAGCTAGGCTAAACACGTCCTATCTGTGTAGAACTGATGAAACTGAATGCTTAAGTAAGACAGTAAAGAAGCTTATGTCCTTTAAGTAGACCACCTTCTTGTGAAGGATGCTTTTGATATGAGGTCTAAACTGAGATCTAAACCCAGACCTGCATCTTTAAGACCTGGACCAACTGAACTGGGCTGGTACTGGTAAATTTAAGACACAACCCAAAGCCATATTTTTGCTTTATTTCTTTCATCCTTTAGTGACTGTTAGCTGGCCAGCAACACATTGGCTACACTACACTTGAAAATAGCCAAACCCAGACCTGGACCGTGATTAGAGCCACTGTGGCCTTGTACAGCAAACTGCTGCGTCCCAACTGTAGTGAAAGCAGCTGGTGAAATAAAAAAGTTCCCATCGTACTGATCCTCCTGTGTGTTCTCCAGGTTCGACCACGTCCTCATCCACGCTGCAGAACGAGGCGGAGCTCGGCGACGATGACGTCTTCACGGTGAGAAAACTTCCTCCAGCTGTTAAAACACTGACAATGAGGATACGGTCGAGTTCTGAGTGCCAATTTCATTCCTTCTGTATGTTGTTGACATGTAGAGGATATATATGGAGCCGTCATTTTCAAATGCATCATAATTCACATTCCTGGATAGAAACTTCCTTATCAAGCTTTCATTTGTATCAGGAGCATTTATGTTTGAAGATAGGGAGCAGGGAAGAGCTCAGGGTTCAGACAGGAGATGCTGCTTTTGTTTGCTACGTGTGCGCTTCATGGGGTGTTAGACAGGAAGGTTGACGGACAGGAAGAGTTTGGTATCCTGTGGTGTTTTTGACCGGACATGCGTCGCCGTCCTGTTTGGGGTTTGGTTTTTGTCACAGACACAGGAGCAGCACACACATATACACCTCACTGTCTTTCTGTTAGGAGTTTGTCTGAGACGCAGACACGAGGAAAACGTCCACGTTCGTACATGTTAAAGAAACAGCCACGTGAACATCTCTGAGTGGACAGGCATGACCCAGCCTTATAGGAATGTTTGAGTCTTGCCTTCGATTTTTAATTAATTATACAAAAAGTTTTAGCTATTTTCACTTTATCACAGAATGTAATTGTATAAAAGTACCTAAAAACATCGTAATTTTTTCGTAATCCTGGAGGGACTGAAAAATACACCAACCACCTCTGCTAATATAGATGCAGTAGGTTTGTGAAATAGTGAAGCAGTTGTTAATGTGCATGTGCAAAGGTGGCAAAAGTACACACATTTTTTACTCAAGTACAGAAACTTGTGTTTGGTTTCTCTGGAGGACGTTTCTACCTTTTGTTTCTGTGCAAAGCGAACTGACGTGAGGAGTCTCCCTGTCTTCTCTGTTTCATCTTATTATGTCTATCTATGCGTGATATGCACCAGTCTTGATGTCTGGAAGGTGTGTAATGATAAAAAACAATAATAATAATAATAATGGATAATTTTGTTCCAGGTTAAATATTCTGTGTGTATTGTGTATGCATCTATGTGGTCCACCCCCCTAAAAACAGGGCTCCCTGAAAGCCACAGTGTAATTTGTACACTGGTCTGATACTGTGTAACATCTGTCTTTACTGTCTGTCCTCCCTGCTCTTTACTCTCTCCAACAAACCCATGAATATACTGTACACAGTGCATCAACAGATCTCCATCCTCAGTCTGATGAAGGGACCGGCTCTTGCTCTCTGCTTCCCTTTCCAGTAAAATGTTTCCTTATTTCCAGCGGCTTCAAAGAAACAGGGTGTATGGTTTCCGCAGGATGTCCAGTGCCGGAGGAGAGAGTCTGACCTGTCAGTAATCCGTCACTGAGCCGCCTGTTTACATAGCTGGCCTCATTTAGTGGAAAGCCGGGCCGGCTGAGGGGAACGTGGCTGCACCGCCCCCCATTCCCATCCGTCCTGTCTACACCTCTGAAGTCTCTCTGAGGAGGAGGAAGAGGAGTTCGACTCGGAGGACAATGAGGATGTAGATCAAAATCCGTCAGGGGTGGATAAAATCCTCCCCCTCATGATGCAGTGCTTCCTCTGGAGGCTCCGAATAACAAAGTAGATCTGGACGAACTGGTGGAATGTGTTTGTCGGAGGTTTTTAGGAAAACAACAGGAGTATAAATGATGTAGTTATGTAACTTTGGAGATTTTGAGCCCTGAACTACAGAAATGTGACAACATTTGAACACAGGTTGAATATTTCAGAATTTGTTAAGCTACACAACAGTTTAAAATTAAATTATTCTGGGGTTTTATCAATACCATGCTATAGTATATATGCTTATACACAAAGCTATGGTCTTCAACCATGTTCCAGTTCTACAGCGGCCGAGAGGGATCAACAAACTGCAAACACGATGGAAGTGAGCAAGAACTGATGTTTTGGACTATTATTGCAATAACACACTGATACCATTCAGTCTTATGGAGAAATGAGTCGACTTCTCAGTTGATTTATGAGCTCAGTAAACAGCTTCCTGATGAGTTTCTGGTCTCAGTTCTAGTTTCAGTCACTTCTTCCCAATACATGCATGATGTTCATTTAGTAACTGATGGTTCCCATTTAGAGTAAACAGACCATAAAGGCAGGGTATGCTCCAAGGGCGGGGCTACCTTGTGATTGACGCCTCATTCTCAGTGAGTCCGTCCAGCTCAACGCACCAAACTCAGATCAAACTGTCAAACTAGGCAGTGCTGATCAGATATGGATCCAGATTCTGTTGTTGACTATTTCTCTCCTCAAATCTGTTCACAACACATTTTACTGTTTATCTGGAATACCAGATCCTGTGTGAGCAGGCAAGCGTGATACGGACGAGTTGAAACTGTGCAGCCAATGAGAGAAGCTCAACTTGCCGCTGGCTCAGACAAACTGTCATGGTGACGACCATAACGCCAAACTCAAAGCTTAAAAACAGTTCTCGACAAACCGATGGGTGACATGATAGGTTCACACTATGTTCCAAACTGCAGGGTTTTTTTACTTCAAATTTCTGGCTACGGACTGTGACAGACGTACGAGAAAGAGAGTCAAACTTCAATGTGACGTTGACTTGGTGGTATGTCAAGGTTGTATACATATGGCATGCAACAGTCTGTGACTTCACATGACTCTCAATGAGTTAGAAATTTGGTACTGTTTTTGCCAAACTAAGGACAGCAGTTGTGGTCCGTCTAAAACTTTTGAGGAGATAAAAAATCTCAACACCTGCTGCCCAAATTGGGAATAAACATGGTGCTTTGAAATTTCACAAAGATAAATGTATGTACGCACTGAATGAAAAGGCTATCCATCCCTATCTGAAAGAGTCAACCTCATGGTGGCGCTAGAGGAAAAGCCAGGGCATCACTAACGTCTGTAGGATTCATCCTCCGGGCACGATGGATAGCTGTACCAAAATCTAATCCAATCCAATATTTGGTGAGATATTTCAGTTTAGACTAAAGTGGTGGACTGACCCACATCAATAGAGCAATGCCATTAGTATGGCTAAAAGTACTGTTTTGATTCAGGGTGGCCCACAATTGGGTAGCTGCAACACAACACAGAAGAAGAAAATAGGACATGGTTCTACTTTCTGGACATTAACTGCAACACAAGTCAAAGTAGCTGAGCTTGTCTGAAGGTAGAAGTGTTTAAATACACTTGTCGTCATACAATTCCACATAGTTGGGGGCATCAGGGCACTAATAAAAGAGGAGACGAAAAGCCTGTAAACAATGCAAGACCCCAACAAATCTTTTATAAGGGCGCGAAATGTATTCACCATGTTTGTTAGGCCTTGAAGATGCCCACATTGCACGAGGAATTAATGGGATTTCATAGGCAAAACAGTCAGAAATAATGACAGCTTTTTCCTGAAAACTGCACAGCTGCACCTAGAAATGTGTGAAAGCTGTTTGTTCTCGGCAGGTTCTCCAGTTCCTCAAGTTTCTGGTGTTTGAAAAAGTCTTCTTGTGTGATCCGAGTGATCCACATGAAAGCTGTGGCTTGTGTCAACCCTGAGGATGACGCAACCCGACACACTGCGCAGAGCGCTCGCAGGGCCGCAGGCCGCAAGGCCGGGCTGGGATTCATTTAGCGCAGACCCAATAAAAACACAAAGACTTCAGAGACGTTTCTGCCACACTGCTTTGGTTCTGGAGGTTTTTCTTACTTTCCCCCCCTTGTTTTTTGTCTAATTGCACACAGAAGTCTGGTGGAGGGTCAGAACACATTGAAGTGAAGCTCAGGTGGTTTCAGAGAGGAACCGAGATCTTCTGATATGCCACATGAGCTGAAAGAAACGAGACAAAAATTGTGATTTATTATTTCCATAAAATGCTCTGTGCCAGTAACGGTTGAGTGAGCCTCGGCCAACTGCCTCCTTTCCTGTACTTAGATATGCTACGTGCTAGGCTAATGTTCAAAACACAACCACAATTTGTATACGGTTAGAAAATAAAACCAATATTGTCACATGTTAAGTTAGCTAATGTTAGCAAAACATTATAATTAGTTAGCTAGTTCGCTAGTGTTTAACTAACATTAGCTTTCTGATGTTAATAAATTCAATTCAGTTTTGTCTAGGGCCAAATCATAACAGGTCGTTAGCATTATCGTTGTTTTACAGCTGTGTATTGATACGGTTTAGTATATGTCAATAAAACACTCATCACAAAGTCTATTTAGTAGTTGTTCTGGAGCTTTCAATCAGAGCACATGCTCTTCCTCAAGAGATGGAGATCGCCCAGATGTCATGGAATTGTAGATGTTCAACTTTTAAGCCAACATGGGCAAGACAGCCTTTCAGTGGTCATAAACAATGGAAGTTTTAACATCTTCTACGTCACATCTTCACAGAATGACCCTTTAACCTTCCTCCTGGTTGTTCACACTGTCCTCTCTTCTCTGTCCTCATCCTCCAGACGGCCACCGACAGCTCGTCCAACTCGTCCCAGAAGAGAGAGCCAGCGATGCACACACTGGCCCCGCCCAACTTCTGTGAGTCCCGTCGGCACCACTGCATCCTGGGACATTTTTACGAGCAGCACCGACCCTCCGATCACTACTTCCTGGACCAGGTGAGTAGAGACTCCAAATGGCTAAGTCAACGTGACTCCTTTTGCAGGTAGATTGCAGACGGTAAAAGAGTTGGTGAAGTTATCAGAAAATTATAAAATACTGCTTCATCATCAGGTACCAAATGTCCTGTGAAAATGGTTACGATTTGACTTAAAGGTGGAGTTTTTTTTCAGTGTCACTCATCCAAACACACTGTGTTAAATGCATTTCCGTCTCCATAAATCGTTTGCAAAGCTGATTTTTTGAATATTTTAATTCTAGCATTGTTTACATCCGTGTTTACTTGCTAACAGTCTTCTTCTTACATTACCTCATTACCGCCACCTGTTGATCAGTGGAACAGTAAGAGACCTCGGGCAGCACTGTGTATTTCTGTATGTGTGTCCTCATGTGCACGTGATAAACAAAATGGGGACCCACTCTTAGACAAACCCTTTCAGTTTCACTGAACTCAACTGGCGGCTGTGTTCCCTTGTTTCTGCTGACCTCTGAGTTTCCATCTCCTCTGTGTCCCTGCAGGCGGTCCACATGTTCCCTCGTCACGTCAGCTTCCAGGTGGAGGAGGAAGAAATCGTACGCATCAACCCCCGCGAGCGCACCTGGCTCACCGGCTACGAAGACTACCGCCACGCCAACTCCACACGTGACAAACTCACCCAGTCCGACAACCTCGACGCCTACGTACATTTTGCAAAGAGCGAGCCGCCCAAACACGACTACAGCTACCCGTACCCGCTGAGCTGCGACGTGCAGCGAGTCTGTGATGGCAAACCCAGTTGCCTGGAGCTGGGCAGCGGCCATAGAGCGGTGGTGACGGTGCAGCCGCGAGCCCTGCAGCCCAAAGGCAAGAGGCGGAAGGAGGACGGTGAGCGCTCGCGCTGCGTTTACTGTCAGGACATGTTCAACCATGAGGACAACGGGCGGGGCCGCTGCCAGGAAGCACCTGACCCCATTCAGACCTGCATCAGGCGGGTCAGCTTCATGTGGTGCGCGGACAGCCTGCTGTATCACTGCATGTCGGACCCGGAGGGGGATTACTCGGACCCGTGCTCCTGTGACACCAGTGACGAGCGCTTCTGCCTGCGCTGGGCGGCGCTGGTGGGCCTGTCTCTGCTGGCGCCCTGCATGTGCTGCTACGCCCCCCTCAGGGCGTGCTACCGCTGCGGCGTAGCCTGCCACTGCTGTGGCGGGAAACACAAAGCTGTGGGCTGAGGCGTCGCAGGCCCCCCGCCCTCCTCACAGCGAGACAGCAAGGACTCGAGGAGGCAGGGAATCGGAGGCTGCTGTGATTTTTACTTTGTTTTTTGTTGTTGTTGTTTGTCTCGTCTCCGATTTCCAGATGCAGGAGAAAACGAACTTTGTCTCAACAGATGGAAGAAAAAAAAGGTTCCCTGTTGTTTTTTGTTTTTACGTCTTTTGTGACATTGGGAACCAAATATGGCTTCCAATTCTCACAAAGACCGAACAAAGAATATTAATTTCTATATAGAATTATATATATAAATATATATATATATATATAGATATATATATATATATAAACAGGTACTTTATATTTTTACACTCATGTGTTTTAAAGGCTTGAATATGTCATTTTTTCAGCGTTGTGTGAGGTCAGTATGAATGTTGTGTTTGTAGAGGGAACTGCAGCTGCGAAACATTTTAACCTAAACGGTGAGTTCAGTTAGATGAGATCAATCTCATGTCTGTGTAAGGAGTCGGGATGTAGTTAGCCTAGCTTAGCATAAGGACTGGAAGCAGGGGGAAACTGCTAGCCAAAGTTCAAAAATATAAAAGTTATCGTGATGTAGTTTGTTTAATCTGTAGACAAACAAAAATATAAAAATGTAAAAACAACTATTTGTGGTTTTAGCCGGACTTACATCTGCTGTTAGCTAAACATTATTACTAGCACACAAACTCTTAAAGCTTGTAAAGAGTTCGTACCTTGATTTATAAGAATTTAATAGAAGCTTTAAATATATATATATATATTTTTTTTTTTTTAAGACCAAAACAATCAAGTTTGAACAAATTTAAAATGACACGCAGGACAACTGTGTGATACCACACGGGGAAACATAACGTAAAGGTTATACTAAAGGTTCAGAAATTTGCTCTATAAATCTCATTCACATCTCATAACTTTCTTATAATGAGGGAAACAAACAGAATTTACCTGTATTATAGGGTCAGAGTCCCCCAGACGTCTGGTGAGTACGGACACATTCGGCTGATCCAGGTGATGTGGTCGCTTGTTGAATCAGTGCTCCTTCCTCACGAAAGTCGGAAAACATTTTTAAATTCTGCAGCTGGATTGCTTATTTCTCGCAATCCAGCTGCAGACAGATAAAGTTAAATAAGAAAATTTTACTTAATCTATCAAGCCTATAAAGTTGGACCCTTCTCTGCTGGACCACAAGGCAAACAAATGGTCACGTTGAACGAATGAATTTCAAATAAAAGTGACAACCCTGCTAACTGTCTCCCCCTGCTTCCAGTCATAATGCTAAACTAGGCAAACCAGCTCCGCACCTTTACAAATAGTTTCAATCCTCTCATTAAATTCTCAGTGATAAAGCTGTTTCTTTAGCCTCCAGCAGGACTTTTTCTTTATGATTTCACAGTTACTCCAGCCGTTAAGATGAATGTTTCGCACCGCGTCAGCAGCTGCGGTTCCCCGATCTTCAGCAGAGGCACTTAACCGGTCTGAAAGCTGCTCTGCTTCCAGCAAACTGAACAGATAAACCAGTAAGATGGCAGTTCCCAGTCTCGAATAGACCAGAAACACAACAAGGTAACAAATGTTCCTCAGAAGGTTGGATTTAAATCTGATGAACTAGTTTTACGCAGATTGATCGTCCATGTTTGCAGTTAAATACTAAACACAATTTGCACAGTTGAACCTCGTTGAATTATCTCCTCTAGTCTTGTTGTGTACTGGTCATACTGGTCTGTCTTTACTGGTTTGTGGTTCGGAATTTGTTTGATGATGAGAACAAAAACTAAAGTAAGAGTAAAGCTAAGACAGATACTTAATATTAGTGTGTGTGTGTGTGTGTGAGGTTCATCAAGAATGTATCTGAGACTGTCTGTTGAAGGGCTGGATATCAAAAATGATCCTTTTATTGGTATAAATAGAAAGAAAAATAACTAAAAAGCGTCAGAATATTTGAGTCTGACATTATAAATTAACTCTCCACAGATTTCTTTACTATTTTTTAACAAAAAAATCTTTGCCAAAATGCGACTAGCCTTTAGAAATGTACCCCCTTAAAATGATTTTAAAAATGTTTTAAAATTAGTAAATGTCTTGTTGGTGCTCAGCCGGAGCCTGAAGGGAACTCAATGATTTTATGAAATGAGCACAAAGTCTGAAAATGTAGATAAAGTTTGAGAAAAACTAATTCAAATAAAGTCAGAACCTAGAACTATCGAAAGATCTACATACTAACTATATTACCTGTTATATTAAATCTGTCTATCTGTGTCAGATTATATTGTTAGATTATTTCCCTGACACCTTCAATCAATCAATCAATCAATAAAATGAAACTGTATTTCTATAGCAGCTTTCATACAGCTCCACAGATGATTGATAAAACGATATTGAGACAGAACGGAATAAAAATTAAATCACTTTACAGGTCTAATGATAGTATTTAATAAAAGCGATACTTAAACTACTAAACAAATAAAATCAATAAGTGGCGGGTCGGGCATTAGAGATCAATAAAGCAACACACATCCTCTGATTACAGATAATCAGGATTGTTTACCTCTTTGGAGGTAAACAAATGAATCCAGTCCAAATAGTCTTAAACCTCCATTTTAAGATTTTGTGCTCATTTCACAGAAACATGTGAGTGTTTGTTAAAGGTCCAGTGTGTAACAGGATCTGTTGTCAGGAGTGGAATATAATATTTATAGTTTCCATTAGTGTTTTCACCTGAATATAACAACTGTTTGTGTTACCTTAGGATGAGCCAGATGTTTCCCGAAGAGTTACTCCGAAGAAACGGACAAACTAAACTGTCTCTAGATTAGACTTTTTACGAGTTTTGCGTTCACCAGAAAGTGAGGCGAGGTGGTTGTAATCTGCAACTAGAAGCCACTAAGTCGCACACACTGGTCCTTTAACATACTGAGGTCTGAACACTGAGTGGATGCGATTCTCCCAAAGCTAAAACTAGTGTAATAAGCTACAGCAGTTCTGTATATGGAAACCTCTTCATCACTACAAAGAACAAAGCGTATTCGTTCTTTCTTCTTTCATTTTCTAGTCTCTGTCTTTACTTAACGCTAAGTTTTCTTTTTGTCGCAGGTAATAAATTCCATGATCATGTGAAAAACTACTTTTTTCTAAACGGAGATTACGAACCTAAACGAAGTGCGACCATTGGCTGTGATGAAGCAGCTCTCACAGTTTGTCGTGTAACTACAGTTTGTGTCTTAAAGCTGCTGAACATTTTCCAAACCATCAGTTCTTAGTTTGATTTCCCTTCTCCGAGGCGGCCATTGGTCTCAGCTGAGTTTCTGACGAGCAAGAGGCTTGAAACCAGTTTTTTTTCTGTTGTCTCAGACTCGTTGGTATTTGCACTCGCACTTGTTTCGGACTTGGCCATCGGTCTTGGACGACGTGACAGCTCTCGCAGCACGTGACCTCCGCTGGCTGCAAAACACCAACATGGCAACGACCATAACGCCGAACTTTAAAACAAACCAATGGGTGACGTCGCCGGTGGTTCACACTGGGTTAAAACATGGAAACCACTGGTTTGGTCCTTTAAACGCACAAGAGGAACACTTCAATCTGTACCAATGGCTGCCTGGAAGGTGTGAAATCAATAATAATAATAATATATATAAACTAATGGTTTGATTTGAAGACAATGTGTATTCTACAGTCGACAAGATACAAAACCACCAATACTCGTCTGTGTCACATCTTTAATTTGAAAAAGAGACTTGAGGCTCAGTGGAGCAGCAATCAGGAGCGAAGGCCTCTGTTCTAAAGCTGTCGTCCTGTCCGTCCTTCTGTCTGCCTGTCTCACCTCTCTCTCCTGTTCCTGCCGTGTTTCCTGTCAGTCAAGCTTCATGATACTGCTGCCATTCGTTGCGGAGAAGATTCCCACGTTTACTTTTCTATCTGTGGCGAGGAAAGTGAACCAAAAGCGGTTTGTCTGTTGGACGCAGCGTCTTCGGCCTGCGTCCACTTCAGCTATTAAAGGAAAGTGCCTGAAGCCTCCTCTTCATCTATGTCCTGATTTCAGAAAATAATTACTGTGTAAAAGAAAAAAAAAAAAAGTAAAGGTTGAATTCATTGGTTTGTCTTTTTTATATAATTCACATTTTTACCTATGTAAAAAACAGAATATATATATGTATATGTATCAAGTGTATGATGTACATTTTCAGTTCTATTTTTTTATTGTTTCTAATATGATGGATGTAAATCTCTTCTAACAGAAAAAGAGACAATGCGACGTGTATAAATACAAATACATCATCTGGAAACTCACAACAGCCTCCATAGTGACATTTACACTGTGTGTGTGTGTGTGTGTGTGTGTGTGTGTCTTCCTCCTCTAAATCTTGGAGGTGGCGATAATGAGGTGGGTGTTTGAAGACTCTCTGTAAGATCTCTGTAATCCAGAGCGTCCCGAGCATAGACGTGTACACACATCGACGCCACATTGGCCGCCAGATTGTCCGTCGCTGCCATATTGGACCGGTAAAGACCGGCCTGTAAACGGAGTAAACAGGGGAGCTGTACCGGCACGAATAGAGGACGACTCACAGAACTGTTAACCAGCATTTATTTGCTCCTGCAGAAGACAATATTCAATTCAATTCAATTTGATTTATTGTCCTCCAGGGGGGAAATTCATGTCCACATCACTGCACCTACACTTAAAGAAAAGAAACACGCTATCCACAATAACAAAAACAAAAACAATCAAATAAATAACACACTGAGGGGAAGACAGGAGGAGCTACGGAAGCCCGGAAGGTAAGGAAGGGTCAAAGTTCAGACAACTAATTTCCACAGGAAATAAAAGAAAATAACAGTATATAAAAATAACTCTGAGATAAAATTCACACTCAATGAAATCATTAAATAATAATTAAAAATCACAAATGCAGATTGAAAATAAGAATTAGTCATTTTTATATTCATATTCAACTTTTAAATATTTTATTTTATTTTATTTTATATATTTTATATATTTTCTACCACTATTATTAGTAATTAGATTTAATTTTAGTTTATTGTTTTGCATTTTCCTTTGTCACACACTCTAGTTCTTACTGTGCATATTTCCACATTCAGGATCCTGTTTATGGCCCCAAAAGGAGAAATTAAACGATTACAAATGAAAAAAGTTATTCTTTGAAAGTTTTAAATGGTGCATAAAAAGATATTAAAATAATGTGCAAGTAAAATATAAATGTATAAAGCACAAAAATACAGTCAGAAAGCTGATCTTTCTCTGGCCTGATGCTCACATTTACACATTTCTTACCTACATTTAAACTGATTATTTTTACGTTAACGGCAGAAATTTCCACACAGGTTTCTCTCTGAGCTCCTGGCTGGATGGCGATGGCACCCTGGGCTGCAGGGCCGGGCCCCCTGCGAGCCCGGACGCTGCGGGACCACTTCAGTGCTCAGTTTACTGAGAGCTGAGACACGACTCAGGATGTTATTTAACAACAGAAAGAGAGAGGGACAGACTGCGTTCTGTGACAGGCGGAGGGAGAGGCCGTTTCCCACAATGCCTGTGGACAAAAAGAGGTCCTGTATGTGCGTGGTTTTGTGTGTTTGTGTGTGTGTGTGGGTGTGTGGGTGTGTTGGGCGGGGAGCGATGGTGCAATTGTCTGCTGCAGCTCCGTGTTTGTTTGTGCTCTAAATGCTAGAGTCACAAACAAACTGTTGGTGCCAAAACGAGAGCGAGGTCCTCACGCTATCTTCGATGATCTGGATCTGTTGTCGTATTTATGACGGACGACTGACGCAGGTTGGAAAAGCACAAAACTTTAAAGCTGCATTATGAGGTTTTGACCACTTGGGGGATAAAACCCCAAAAACAAACACCTTAAGTTTGCAGCCAGTTACACATCCAGTCGACAGAGATATTATTCACTCACTTTTCTCTTCAGGTAGTCGCACTGTCGGTCGGCTGTTTGATGCTGAGAAGGTATTCTGCCCTCCAGAGGCTAACCGCAGAAGTTATATGCTTAAATGTATGTAATGTATGTATTCTTTAAGTCATTTTCATGGCTTTAAAATTAAGACCAATTATTTGACCTATGACCCCCCAAACTGCAGCTCCTGCACTCTGTCTTTGTATTACCATAAACAGATATAAAGGTAGTGCAGTCTGACTGTCTAGAGAAAATCAAAATCTAAAATCTGTATTTCTTATTGATTCACGTATAAAGAGTTGAAATAGACGAGTAATTAAGAACAAAGTCAAGCATGTCTAACCTATTATTTCTGTATAGAGTTACATAAATTATGACTTTTTTAAACAGAGTGAGACCAAATTTATTATTTAAGATAAAACATTTAAAAGTCTATTTTCAGTCATAATTTAGTTTCAAAACAAAATTAAAGTTACGGCGGTCCGCCTTCGTTGGGCGGTGCGGCAGCTTCATCAGAGCTTTATCAGGTATCTGTACTTTTTTACCGCCTACATTTTGCACAAATATCTGCACGTTCTTCTCCTTACATTTCAAAAACAGGCTTGGTACTTTAGTTTGAATGCATTTGAGGGGGATTATCACGTCCCGCTGGTTGTGCGTCTGTCTCTCTCTCACTTTTTGTTTTCCGGGAAGACAAAATTATTGGATTTCGATATAAAAAATACAAAGAAATTGAGTTTTTAAGAATGTTTTTGTCAGACATTGTTAAATATGGGAACAATAAAACTGAGGATGCAATCTTAAAGGGTTAAAAATGACATCTTTCAGTTTACCTGGACTTTAAAATGTCACATCAGATCAGCACTTGAGTTGGGAAAACATACAAACACACACACAAATACACAAACACACTGGTGTCTGTGTGT